TATCTTGCGGGCAAGTTCCATTTTATATATAAATCAAAGTTTCTGTATTAAAATCTTGACTACTGTATAGAAGAAACTTAAGATATCATTGTGTTTTAACCAATTATAATTCTAATCATAATATAAATCTTATCTCACCATGAAATTTTGATATCCCAAATTTTTAAGAATCACACCAATATCAAAATGGTTGCTTGATATTATTAAAATACATAAAAAGAATACAAGGGTGGGATGTGTTTTTGGAATGCGGTTTTGGAATATTAAGCCGGATCTTCCATAAGTTTTAGAGTGAAGGAAACCAAACTAGAACATATTCTAAGAAAAAAAACATAAAGATATGAGATAAGAAGTCACAAAATAGAGATTCCTAAACTCAAGACTAAAGACTAAACACTAAATAGCCGAACAACCATTCTCTCGTAAAAACCACAAGATGAACCAGTGCACACCAAACTCTCAATAACAGCAGCACTGGCGAGAAAGAAAGCAAAGCCTCAAAATGGTTGATTATTCAACTCTTTTGTTATTGATTTCCTAGACAACAATATCTTTCAATAGTCAAGTCAATAGTTATATATCTTTAAACACATAACACGTTTTTTTCATAAATGGTTAGTTCGTTTGCAATTTGACACTGCCAAATACGTGTATGTAGTAAAATAGTTGACAATAAATAGTGACACGTAGATATCACACGGTCCTTTTTATAATTTTTTTTGTTGTGATAAATCCAAACCTTTGAAACATAATATCTTCGGTACCCGGATACAATATTTGAATATTTTGATTTAAATAATAATTTCCAGTGCAAAAAAAATTTGAATATGGATCACAAGAAAACAACTCTTTTGTATTACCACTAGACTATCACATTTTTGGTTAGATATCACACCGTCTTTTTTATAACTTTTACTAAAGATGATTTTGTTAATAAAAAAATGACGTGATCTTCCCCGGTACAACTCTTTGTCCTATAAATAGAGAACCTCTTGTCTTCATATTCTCGACACACACATATAAACGCATAAACTCGTTAAAATTTGTACGAAAAACAAATATATAAAAAAGTTAAATATTCTTTACAATAATATTATATTTTTCCCCCAAACCGAAAAAAAGAGAGAGAATCTGTGCATGTTGCTCAGAAAATCTTCAAAGCGTAATCTGAGCTTACGTTAGCTCTCACGAACCCCCAAAGGATCTCTTATATACGTTTTTTCATTTCCCAATCAAATCTGAACTCATCATCTAAAACATTACCATATCTTCTCTTCTTCTTATATATATTCCTCCTTTAGTGTCCTTGAGAGACACAATCTTGATTCTTGTTCTTGTTTCTTTACGAGTCGTGATATGATGACGTCAAGCTTTGTTCTCATGACGTTTGCGATATGTGAACTGATCATAGCGGTTGGTCCGAGCGAGCTCCTCCGCATCGGAGCCATAGATGTCGACGGTCACTTCAGCTTCCACCCTGCCGACTTAGCCTCGGTCTCGTCGGACTTCGGTATGTTGAAGTCGCCGGAGAAACCATTGGCCGTGTTCCAACCATCCTCAACCGAAGACGTGGCACGTCTCGTAAGAACAGCTTACGGTTCAGCCACGGCGTTTCCGGTCTCAGCCAGAGGCCACGGCCATTCCATAAACGGACAAGCCGCGGTCGGGAGGAACGGAGTGGTGGTTGAGATGAACCACCGTGAATCCGGAACGCCGGAGCCACTTGTCCGACCAGAGGAAATGTATGTAGACGTTTGGGGTGGAGAGTTATGGGTCGATGTGTTGACGAAAACATTGGAACATGGCTTAGCACCAAAGTCATGGACTGATTACTTGTATCTATCCGTTGGTGGTACACTCTCCAATGCAGGAATTAGTGGTCAAGCTTTTCACCATGGTCCTCAGATTAGTAACGTCCTTGAGCTAGACGTTGTTACTGGTTAGTTAAAGTCTTTTACGATTGTTAAAACATATTCAAAATATTTTGTTTGTTCGATTTTAATTGAAGTTTTATGACAAATTAGGGAAAGGAGAAGTAATGAGATGCTCAGAAGAAGAGAACACAAGGTTGTTCCATGGAGTTCTTGGTGGGTTAGGTCAATTTGGGATCATTACACGAGCAAGAATCTCTCTCGAACCTGCTCCCCAAAGGGTAATTTTTTTGTTATAAGTTTGATTTTATTTCGTCACGTAACAAAATTTGCCGGGCGGGTCCATTATATATAACTTTTCTTTTTACTATGGGTGACATTTTTTTCTGGATTTATCAAATTTAAAAACCTAAAAGATATATTGTTATTATGACAGGTGAGATGGATAAGAGTGTTATATTCGAGCTTTAAGGTGTTTACGGAAGACCAAGAGTACTTAATATCAATGCATGGTCAATTAAAATTTGATTACGTGGAAGGTTTTGTGATTGTTGACGAAGGTCTAGTCAACAATTGGAGATCTTCTTTCTTCTCTCCTCGTAACCCCGTTAAGATTTCCTCCGTTAGTTCTAACGGCTCCGTTTTGTATTGCCTTGAGATTACCAAGAACTACCACGACTCCGACTCCGAAACCGTCGATCAGGTTAGTTTAATTTATTAAATTCCTCCATTTTTAACACTAGTTTAGTTTATGATTTAGAAATAATAGAAGATATTTTTTTCATTTTTATATTGATGAATATCTGGAAGGATTTTAACGCTATGCGATTATTGGGGAAATGATCATGATGAAGAATTTTTAGTTTTTTTTTTTAGTTTATATGATTGTAAAGTGTCTCTCCATAGTATTTTTGTTGTGTTCACTTTATTGTAAATTTATATTTAGAAAGAGGACATGAAGTAGAAGACAGAGAGGATCTACAGAGATCTAGCTTTTCCACCTGAACTTATTAATAATACACATATATATTACTTTTTTCTTCTTCTTATGTTTAGTTTATCACTAGCGAATTATATAATCATGGTTACTAATTAAGTAGTGGACAGGGTTCTCATGGACCACTCACCAAATAATGATTCCTCTTTCTCTAATTAAAATTTTAATTAAAACCAACTCTATTGGAATCTTAACTTATCCTTGTTTTTGGTAGGCTTTAATAGCAAACAAATCAGCTTCTCTTTTTAATAAATTATTAAGAATCATTTGCAATAATAATAATAACGGAAAAAATCTATAATTAGGAACCTAGAAAAACCTTAGAGAGAGATAGGAAGATATAGTGAGAGAAAAAGGGGGATTTTTGGTTAGTTTGTATATTATAGTTTTTTTTGTTGTATTTCTAGCAAACAATTCCAATTATTAAAGGGTCATTTTGGTGTATAACAAAAAAAATATATATATTATAAAGTAAGTAAAAGTGGGTATGTGGCAAAATCATGACCA